CCCCCTCCCCAAACCCCACCCCCAGCACACCTGTTGCGCTCCATCGCCTGTTCGGCCTTCTTTGCGCCGCCCCCCTGCGGCCCCCCTCTACCCCGCCGCCCGCCCGCCAGGCCCCCGGCCGCATCAAACACGCCGTCCAGCCCCGCGAGCCCCGTCCTCGCGACGCTTTTGATGAAGTTGCGCCCCGGTGGCGGCGGGCGCCCGTCCGGGGTGGCGCCCTTTTGCCCTCTAAACTTCTTCCGTTTCACGTGGTCTGCCGGGCCGCCGTCGCTGTACAAGACATAATCTGATAAGATGGATGACAAGGGGCGCGAGGGGACAGGACCGGGGGCCGGGTTGAGTGGTTGATGGGATACTGAGGTTGGGGGGTGGCCTAGAAGGGGAAGAGGGTCGGTGCTTTGTGCCGTACAGTGAAGGCAGCGTGCGTGCGTACCTTGTGCCTCCAGCCAGGTACTTTGCAACTCACGGCGCCCGCGCACCAACAGCGGGGCGTACGCAGACGCCACCAAGCTTGCAGCTGATCGATTGTGCCGTGCACAAAGGCCCATCGCCTTGACAAGCCCACGCCTGCATGCCCCAAAGCCCGCCAGCTGCCCGCACCCAAGCGATCACCCCTGGCCCGCACACCTGAGTATGTTGGCGCAAACACGTGCACCACGTCCTTTACAACGTCCCTCATGCTTGCCGCGTGGGCGAACGCGTCAAGTCGGAACCCGGCCGCGGAGCCTCCGATTGAGTACTCCTTATGGGGGAACGCGTACGTCAGCGCCGCGCCGGCGACGAGCATCTCGGCGCAGATCATGAGATTCTGGAGCGCCTTTCCGTCTTCCGGGTCCTCGATGTGGCCCATGCTGTTGATGGCGGAGATGGCGATGCCCTGGGAGATTCGGAATTTGAGGAGGCGGGTGGTTGGGGTGCTTGCCAGGGAAGGCAGCTCGGGGAAGGCTGGTGACATGCATCTCGGCCGCATCACCAGAATTCGATTTTCGGACATCAGTGCACAGCAACTAATCTTGCCATGGGCTGTTGCTTATGTAACCCTGGACGGTGGCAGGCAGCGACGGGTCCGTGGGTGCTGGTGCGTTGTGAGTTCATGCCATTCTCGCAGACCCGCCCTGGCAGCTGACCCCCTGGTCCGTGTCCCTGCCGCCCTGCCGTGCAAATCAGCCACAATGTCTGCTTGCCCTCACTTCTGCTGGTCTACCGGAGGACTGCTGCCTCTGTCGGACTGCTGTCACCAAAAGCAAGTGCCCTGATCATGTCCCCCCAAATTCCCTGCGGCCCCCAACGGCCGCCATTGAGTCACATTGTGTATGAGTCACATTGCGTGTTGCAAATTATCATGCGCACCTGCCAGAAGGTGAGGAACACTACGGTCTTGACCAGAACAAACTTGAGCAGCGGGCTGAACGGCGCCAGCAGCTCGCCAGCGCCGATCCAGAACAGCAGCAGGCCGTAGAGCGCAAACGTGTAGCTCACGTTGTAGAGGATGGGCAGGTAGAAGTAACTGCCGCACGGGAGTTTTTTTAGGGAGGGTGGTGCAGCTTGCGCGTAGCATTGCAAATGCAGCTGATTTACATTGTGAGGAAGCTGTGTGTGATGTGGTGCTCAGATGAGACGGCCTAGCAATGATAGGGTTCAAAGGGGTGCCGTCCCCCATCCAGCTGGTGCTCACCCGTTCTTGGGGCTCATGTCACCGTCTGTGTAGGCGTTTGCGGCGTACAGCACCAGCGTGAGCGCCGCCATGAGGGGCTTCAGCAGCAAAATTTGATCGAATTCGCCGGGCAGCAAAATTTGATCGAATTCAGCACAGTCAATGGGGTGCACTGATGAGACTGCTGCGACTGGGTACGGTACAGTTGAGTAGGGGCCTGCACGTCTGTGCATGTGGCGCAGCAGGGCCGGCCGCAAGCCGTTCTCAAGGGGTCAGCCGAGCAGCCAACCGCTGCAAGCCGCCCCGTTGCGACGCGCGAGGTGGTTCTGCTTGCCAGTCTCTGTACACATCTCCCCCTTGCAGCGCATCCCCCCACGACAGGGTGGTCCCCTGTGCCCCAGCCGACTGCGGCCAACGAATGCCCGCCCAGTACCGCCCGCCTCAAAGCAGGCGACAACGCCCCCCCTCACGCCCCCACATCCTCCAGCCCCAGTTCGTCACAGCGATGGCAGTTGCCTCGGACGCCGTCCTCACATCCTCACTCGTATCGCGAGCGCCGCAGGCAAGCGCTGCGCGCACCTGCATCGCCGGGAGGCAACATGTGAGGTGCACCCAGGAGGGGTGAACCACCTTGCCCTCCGCCTTGACCACCACAGCCCCCGGGCCGCCCACATACGCCAGCAGCAGGCTGGTGAAGTTGTAGATGATCCACGCCTCGTAGCTGCGATCGCGATTTCCGAGGGAGGGGGTGTACGGGTGTCGACGAGCCGCAGGGTCAACATGCCACGTTGGGTGGGCTATGATAAGGATGAGCCATGATCAGAACCTTTAGGATGACGTGTGCGGTAGCTTGCCAGCGGCAAGCGCCTGCGCCTACGCTGAGCGAGCGCTGCAGCGGCTGCGGCGGCCAGGCGGCTTGGCACGAGTGGATTGTCCCGTTCGCCCTCACCAGCGTCCCGTGCCTGCTGGTCAGCAATCCTGAAATGTTCCATGTGACTTGCAGCACGCACACACCTCAAAACCCCGGTCATGAACCCCCAGCCACAAAACCCCAGCCACAAAACCCGAGCTATCTTGCCGACCCACCAGTCGCGCACTGTGTCAAAGTAGATGGCCGAGTGGCGGTACCTGAGGCTGAACCACGATCCCAGGGCGTACACAGGCACCATGAAAATGAGGCGAATTATGTAACGCTGCAAGGTGGGAGGAGGTGGCCAGGTGTGCGTGTGCTGAGGGCGGCTTATGTGTGTGCAGGGGTGGCCGGTTGCTGGGCATGCGTCGGTGCCCCTCGGACCGGTTTCAGCGCATGGGTTGACCGACGGCGGCAGAAGCGGGTCAACGGCAGCTAAGTCCATCCGCATGCGGATTTGTGGTGACATCGATCATGGACAATAGGGATGCAGCGCAGCTGTACATGATGCGGCTGCCTGCCTTCCATGTGTCACCGGCCACACCTGGAACAGAGGCTCTGTGTAGTTTCGCAGGTGGCACAGGATCTGATGAGCACATGGGCGAGGAACAGGGCATGCGTACCAGCTCAGTGTGTCGATTTGAAGGTGATGGCAGCCCATGCATGGCTGAGCTGCGCGGTTGCTGGACAGTGCAGCAGCAGCTGCATGCGTCGCCGCTGCACTCACGGCGCACCTGCACGACGGAGATGGACACGGCCCCGAAAGCGCACACGCCCGCCAGGGCGATGACTCCCGGAGTATCCAGCATGTTTTCGTGCTACATATCATGTGCAACGCACCATCGACTCGCCTCTCTCTTGGCGGAGGGGTCAATGACGGGTCAGCACGTTGTCGGGGACATCATGGGGCATATTCACAGAAGAAAGATACGGGTGGTGCCTAATTCGAGCGGTTCTGAACATCACGGATGTCGATTCTGGCAGTTGCAACCTGCCTGCCGTGTTGCCGAGTTCTACGGGATTGTCGGAGCTCTTAAACAAAACATATTGGTGTAAAACCGATCTTAATGCGAATTATCAGTGACGTGGGGGCCTGTGCACTGCTGTCCCAAACGATCTGATCAGTCTTGTCCTGTGTCTGCATGTCTCGCACAATCTTTGGCAACACCGTGCAACTATATACCTTGGCAGACTCTAGATGTCGGAAACGGAGGGCGCGCGGCTCCCTCCCCTTACAGAAGCTTTGCACGGTCTCAGAGGCCGGAAGTTCAGCTATGGAACCTATAGAAACATGGTCCGCGCGGAACGCCGTCGGCTGGGGCTGGCACGCAGCATTGATCGCCGCGGACAGGCGTCACCCGCACCACCCGCTGCAGGTCGAGCAGCGGTACTTGCCACACTCGACATGTCGTGCTGCCTGTCGCGCAGGCCCTGGCGATCACGTTTGTGGGATACGCGCTGTTTCACGCAGCGCGGAAGCCGCCTGGTGTTGTCAAGAGGTGCGTTGGGACAGCGAGCAATTGGGCTCGGCTGGTGATGAGACCCCCTTTCAGATGGGTGACCCATCAGTTTTGTGCAACCCGCCGATGCGTTACGCATGCGGGTGAATTCGAGGCATCTGGTAAACGTCATCCGTTAGCAATGTACCTGTGGCCACTCATGCTGGCGTACGCAGCGTCCTGAATGGGGGAACGGCCGCAGCTGTAAACAGCACGGCAGCAGCTGTCAACGGCACGGCGGCGGCTCCAGGCGACGGCGGGGGCTGGCCGCCGTTCAACGGCCCGCACGGTCAGGTGGGTGAGTTGAGGGGATCATGACTATAATCATCATCACCACCATCATCATTGAGGCCACCTGCTTTCTTGCTGGCCGCTGGCCCTCCTGATTTCGAACTGCGCGATCCCACCTCCTGTTGTTGGGCTGCCCAACCCCACAAGCAGCGCCACCTCAACAACCAACCTCGCTCCCTCATCTCTCCGCCCTCGGCCCCCAGCCCTAAACCTCCCTCATCCCTGCGCCCTTCCAAATTCAGCCTGCCCCCCACCCATCCCTCCTCCTCACGCCGCACCTACACCCTGAACCCAAAACCCCGAACCTCATCACCACACACAATGCCGAAACCCAGGCCAGGCTCGGCGAGCTTGACTTGGCTTTCCTGGGGGCTTATGCTCTGGGGCTGTTCGTGTCTGGCCACGTGGCGGACAGGTCAGACCTGCGGCAGCTGCTGGCCTGGGGCATGGCCGCCAGCGGGCTGCTGACCTCTCTCTTTGGCATGGTGCGCACGAATGAGGGCTGGCCTAGCCTTGCACGTCTGCGGGCGCGCCCGAACGCTTTCCATTGGTGCTGCGGCGCCCCGCGGCTGGGCAGGGGCGCCTCGGCAGCGGCGGGGTGTGCCCAAGCCGTGCACTGAGCCATGCTCGAGGGGCCGAGCTCGTCGCGCGGAGCGTGAGGGTGATCCTCACAAACGCCGCTCCATTTCTCGTTGAGCTCCCTTTCGTGTGCCCTTTCACAGCAGTCCCGGCTGCGCGCGCCTGTGATCGGCCTCCCACCCCACGTCCCCTCACCACGACTCGTTTGCAGGCATACTTTTGGGAAATCCACAGCCCTGCATTCTTCTTGACAACGATGGTGAGGCCTGGTCAGGCGCGGCTCCTCCCCATCACCAGCTGCCTCCCGCGCTGGCTGCTTCGCTCCATCGAAAGCGGCAGCCCCTCCTGCGGCTGCCCTTTCACACGCTGCCAGCTGGCTTCGTCTGTCGACCCTAGGCGCCCGTGCACTGTCTACGGCAAACGCCACGCCGCTTGAGAGCTGGCAACTCCCTTATTCCCCGGGCCCCTCAGCGCCGCCTCGAAGTTCCCGCTCTGCCCAACCACTCCGCGGCCCCCACCCGGAAACCCGGCCTCTCTCTCACAAAAGGCCCTCGCCGGCGCGGCGCAGTCCATCGGCTGGCCGTGCGTCATATCAGTCATCGCGAACTGGGTCGGCCGCGGGCAGCGCGGCCTTGTGATGGGCGTGTGGGCGGCAAACACTTCTCTAGGGAATATAGCGGGCGCCGTGGCTGCGTCGGCGTGCCTGCGGCTGGGGTGGGGCTGGAGCTTCGTGGCTCCGGGGGTTGCGCTGAGTGGGGCAGGCCTTGTTGTGTTTTTGCTGCTGGTAGCGGCGCCCGAGGACGTCGGATTGGCGGGCCCCGCGGGCGCGGCGGGGGGCGGCGGGGGCCCGGCGTACGCGGCAGTGGGGACTGCGGACGACGGCGGGGCGCGCGGCGCAGGGCCCGGACGGGCGGCGGCGCGGGCGGCGGCGGCGGGCGGCGGTGGAGGTGGCGGTGGTGCGGGGACAGGGACCGGCGACGGGGCCCTGCACTTCGAGGTGGGGCTACCGCGCACATCCTTCTTTGTTCGCGCGCTCAGCGTGCAGGCGGCACAGCTATCTGCACCGGCTGTGCACACACATTCCTGCCTTCACGTGCTTTCCTTCTGACTTTTGCTGCACCACATCCATCCATCTGATGCTCTCCCTTTGCCCCCAACACATTATATTTGAACCAGCACATGGTTGCACCTGCACCCCAGAGCAAGCCCGCGCTGGCACGCCCGCCCTCATCCCACCCCGCAGGTGGAGGGTAATGGCGGCTGGGAGGACTGGGGGGATGACGACTTTGACGCCGTCGAGGATGACTACCCAGACACCGTCTCCCTAAACCCCCGCGACGGCCCCCGTGCACTGCCCCTCTCCACGCCCGCGCGCACCGCGTCAACGGCCGCCGCGCGGCGGCCGCGCAGCGGCGGCGGCGGCAACGGCGGCGGCGGGCCCGCGCCGCTGTCGTTCTGGGCGGCGTGGGCGATTCCAGGGGTGGCGTCATTCGCGCTGGCCCTCTTTTTCAGCAAGCTCATTGCGTACACATTCCTTTATTGGCTGCCATTTTACATGAGCTCAACGCCCATTCAGGGTCGCTTGCTATCCCCAAAAGAAGCGGGCGACCTGTCGACCCTCTTCGACGTCGGCGGCATCGCCGGAGGGGTAGCTGCCGGGTACCTGTCCGACCGGACGGGCGCGAGCGCGTGCGTCGCGGCGGCGTTCACGGGCGCGTCGCTGCCGGCGCTGTACGCGTACCGCGCGCTTGGGCGCGGGGGGCTGGGTGTCAACATGGCGCTCATGGCGGCCGCGGGGTTTTTTGTCAACGGGCCGTACGCGCTGATTACGACGGCGGTCAGTGCTGATCTCGGAACGCACGAGAGCCTCGGGGGCGATGCCAAGGTCAGCGGGAGCAGCGCGAACGCATGCACTACCAGGGAGGGGCCACAGCCTCTGCTTCGGTCGCGCTGGTACCTGCTGCCCCACTCGATCAGAGGAGCTCCGTTAGCTGCGCATTTGCCGTTCACACAGGGAGGGCTTGCTCGCCGCTGCAACCGCATCTGTGGGTATGTGCTGCCCCTGCTGCGCAGCCGGCGAGATCCCAACCTCCACGCCTCACGACTCCGCTCCTCAGAGTCCCACTGCCGCCCCCTCGCCACCCCACCTCGACCCCCGAACCAAGGCCCTGGCTACAGTCACCGCCATCATCGACGGCCTGGGCTCTATTGGTGCCGCGCTGGGGCCCGCGCTCACTGGCTACATCGCGCAGGCGGCTGGCTTCGACGGGGTGTTCCTGATGCTGTACCTTTCTGCGCTGGCGGCGGGCGCGCTGCTGGCGCGGCCGGGGCTCAAAGAGGTGCGTGATTGGGATGATAAGATGGACTGCGTGGCGGGCCAGGCAGGGTTGGATGGGTGGGGATGCCATGTTACGGCGGCGCACGGGCGCGGGCTGTGGGGGCCCGGGGGAGGGTGTCAGCACAACCTAGATTCGGTTGGTGAGATCAAGGCAACTGCTGTCGGACTTTTGTGTCCAGAGTCTGTGGTCTGCTCATTCCTTTGTGAAGCGCATGTCTCACTTCCCTGGTGCCGCCCATGCGCTTGCCTCCATCTCTGCGCACAGCTGCACGCCTTGAGAACTGCGCGCACCGGCAGCAGGGGTGCGGCTCCGGCGATTGAGCTGCCGAACAGATGAAACTGAAGGTGGTGCATCTGAATCTGGGATCACCCTGTGCTTGGGGGCTCAACATGGCTGTGCGCCGGGCTGAACCCTCTACGAGGCTTTGATCTCTCGTAACAAGCAGACTTTGATTGTCCCAGGCTCAGTCGTTGCCGCCCAGCCTGCCCGCAGCCGTGCTGTTGTCATCGGTGCTCATACTGCAGCAAAGCGGGCATCAGCGGCGCAATTGCCACACGTGACATGACTATATGAATCTTGCATCCCGTTCGCCATGAAGTTCTCACTGCAGCCGTGGCCCACGCCGCCTTGCTTGATAGTCCAGGCCAGTCCAACAGCATCTCGCGTGATGCCACGGCAGTCCAATAACGCCACGTTGCGGCCGCGCAGCAGGGCATTTGTCACACAGGAGCAACCGCTTCAGATGCGGTGGGACCGCTGCACGCTCCAAGCTCCACTGATTATTGTTGGAGCCCTGCGATGTCCGTGCTTCAAGGAGCATCGACACTGCTTACCGCAGATGTCATAACCGCCCCGTTCCTTTGGATCGCATCCCTGCTTGATTACACAACAATTTATGTTTGCATGCAGATTGCCACACACTTGCAGACCAGCACGGCTTGCCACCATGTTGGTGGAAGCGCTCCCCTCTAAGTTGAGGCAGTAGTTCCACTTTTGGTTCTCACCACCACAGCAGCACGGTGCTGAGCAGCACCCTTACCTAATTCTTGAGACGTTCAGAGCATGCACGCTCAAAACTGTCTTGAAGCACATGTCCAGCCCCGTCAGGCCCCGTTCACTAACTTGTGACAGTTTTCGGCTGGCTGCAATTATCAGTGATCCGGGCGCTTTCAGCCCGCGGTGATAGATGATGCAGGCCTGCGGCCCCGCGTGCAAGACAGACCGTAAGGAAGGCGGAGAAGCAATATGAATCCTGGCAGCACGGCGAGCATCGCCTCTGCGCTGACACGGTGCTGTCATCGCGACTGTGGCTGCAGCTGGCGCCTGGGCTTGCACTGCAGTGGCATCACTGGAAAACCCACAGGCAACTCTTGAAGCGCCGCGGTGAACAATGAGTTCAGGCTTTAGTGCTGCACATGACCGCTCCAGGTGTACCGGCGTAGTGTTCTGCCCATTTTCTAGCAACATGGCACACCATTACTGTTCCAGTACCGTACTGTACATGTGTTGCAGAGAGTCACGATGCGCAACACATGACCCAACGCAAAGCGCCCGTGGACAAATAGCTACAGCACAACGGTAGCTGGTGTGTTACTTTGTTTCAAGCGGACTTCAAGTTCCTGCCTCCAGGGTGACACGGTGCATGCCCCAGTGCCTCGCTCCCCAAAACGCCGTGGTCCCACTGTCACAGATATTGGTCGTTTTGCCCATGCGGATGATTCTATGACAACTTCGGCAGTCAGTGCTACCGACCCGAGCATCCACTGAACACCGCCGGGGCCACCCCGTGTCCAGGGCCAAGCGACGACACGTGCAACGCGCATTTGTGTTGCGGCAGCTATCGTAAAGGTGTTTCCTACGTGCACATATCTGGTCGTCAGCTGAGCTGCACTGCCGCAGCCTCTCTTTGGCGCGGCTCGCTGGGCAGCCAGCACCGACACAGCAGTGCGTGCCCGTGCTCGTGCCGCAACCCAGCCAGGACCTGAGAATCTCCCCCTCCCTGAACCCATATTTGTACCTTCACCGGTTTGACCACTTTAAGGATGCTGCTGCATCGCTGGGCCGCCGTAGCGGTGGCCGCAGCAATGGTGTTGGCGCTCGCGGGGCCTGCTGCGGCTCAGGGCGTGCCCAGCACCGACGCAGAGCTTGGCTCGAGTTCGTTGGAGGCGAAAAACCTCTACAACTCCTGGAAGCAGGTCACACAACCCAACGTGGTGGCCCAACAGCAGCGATGGGCTCAGGGCAGCGACTGCGCCAGGCGCGACACCGCCACTCTCTGCGGGCGGAGCGTCAATGATGCAGACCTAGCCGAGCAGGCGACGCTGCTGTCGTCAGCATCGCCCGCTAAGTACAGGTGTGATGGTTGTATTGTTTCCCTGTTCTTTTGGCTTATCGGCAAACTTAACATGAGCACCCGGGGCCCATGTTCAGCGCACCCTTGGAGCCGACTTGCGGCAAAGATGTGCACCTGCAACACAATTGTGTTCAGGTTCAACACACGAGGCAGGACCATCCTGCCTCGACAAACGATGCCATAGTCAGTCCCTTTGCGATGGCTGGAGACTGCAACGCTGGCAAGCGGGCTGCGGTCTGGGGATGGCCCAATGGCTCATGTGTAGCAGGGAAGTTGTCACCCAATTCTTCACATGCTAGGCCCTGTTGTCCGGGTCGAGGCCTTAAGCCCTAGACTCTATTGTCCGGGTCTTAAAGGCTCGCAGCTGGCTGTCAAGCCACCGCAGCTCGCGTGCGCTGTAGCCTGGCTATTGGTGATAGGGAGTCAGCAGCAGGTAGCAGGTTACGACCTGACCGGCAAGCTGCGTGCGAGACCAAGAAGATGACTGACGGTCGCCAAAAATCGTCGGGCTGGTCGCCGCATGGCACTTGTTGGATGTGAATTTTTTTGCTGATAACCTCAGCTTTGACCCCACGCGTGCGCATGAACGTGTACGCGTGCGCGCTCGTGCACACACACACACACACACACACACACACACACACACACACACACACACACACACAC